TTTCAACCTTTCTTCTAGACTTGTGGAGGGGAACAGTCAAAAAATACTTCAAAAAACATACATTCGTTACCTTACAAAATCCTTTTTTGATTGTGCTGAAGTCTGGCAAAACATAATCTACCATTACAGTATTTTCCTCTCCTTTCAATCTGAAAGAGAAGAATGTTAAATATATCAGAATAAAGAACAAGTTCTAAATCCCAACTGTTTTATACTGACAAGACTTCCTTTGACTTAACTGGAAAATTTCCTGATGATGAGTATAGTTTTATTTGTTTGTACAAACAGATTATTCAGAAGTACCAACTTGCACATTTAGTACCATTGTATACCTACTTGGCAATGTCCATGTCCTTGTAGAAATCTTGAGAAACGTAACACACGTCTTCTTTCACTTGATTAATTACATGCGTTTCATCCATAACATGTAACTGCCTGTGAAACAAAACCACAGAAGTTTCAGAATAATTAAGTCTTATCATTACGTGCCCAGTTTTCCACTGGAGATGAGCAAAATGGAGATGACAGTTTTCAAATCACAGAAAGCTACCGTGTCAATACCTAAAATGTGTATCATTTACAAAATCATTCCTGGCCTACTGGAGTTTAATATTTTTCTATTTCACAGTTCAATAAATACAAAAATCCACCTGCATTTCCCCAACACCTCTGTAACAAGTACAACCATAATCCTGCAACTACCTCTCCTAGCAAAGACCTCTACCTAGAGAAAAGTCCAAGCTAAAGGATCCTAATGGAAAGTTGATCCCACTGAATTTTGTTTGTGGTTCAGTTAGCAAACTGATGACCTACTGAGACAGCTCAGAAAATAGGTAAGGACTTGTGTAACTCTGAACACACAGGTAACCTCAAAAATTTCAAAAGCATGGCTCTTTAAAACAGCCTAATTCTTCAAAGAGCTTAAGCTCTTCTTAATTCATCTTGACCTTAAGATCAAAATGGCAGCTAGCAGATTATAAAACAAAGATTCCATTCTCTTCTAAACAGCACCTAATCTAAAATTTACAGAACCAGTAAGAATATCCCCATAAGCTTTTAGCTCATTTCATACCAGATCTCAGAATGATGATCAGCACACTTTACCTGTAAGAGATTATCTCCTTTAGATGGTTGGTTAAGAGTTTTCCTCCAACATTAATCCTACAAAAAAGCAATAACACAAGGAATTCTGTCATTATTATCTTCAGGCACAGCAAACAATTCTTCTAGAAAATATATACTGCTGCTTACCTGATGATTGCCTCTTTCTTCTTTTTACTTCTACAATAAGGTACAATGTGTGTAAAAGAGTATCCACTATCCACAATGATACAACACAGCTCGGATGGATTATCCCGGAAATACCTGTGCGCACTAAGAGCTCCAGCTGAAATATAGAAAGTTTCATTCCATTTTTATATGAATATATACTTTTAGAATTCACATGAAAATGTACTTGCTTCATATTTTAAATGCCTTTGACAGACTTCCAAGGCCTCAGTAAATAATACTACAGCCAACACATGAATTAATTTTGACAGTGGATAAAATTAAGTTTTGTGTATGTCCCTATTTGTTCTTTTTCAATAATTCCAGTCCAGTTTCCACTACTAAAGTGCAAGCAGACAGACGACATCAAAATGTATCAAACCTATCTAAAGGGATATCCTACGCCCAGCTACCTGTTAAAAAGGTTGTGACGTTATCTACGCATTCCCTGTAAGACACCACACATTTCATGACTGCGATGCTGGATTTTATTTGTTAGTACACAACAAAACCAAACAAAAAAACCACCTCCACTCTCCCCTCAGTAACGGAAAGCTATCAAAGACTTTGTGCAAATTCTAGGTAGACATTCTCAAATAAAGTAATTTTTTACTATCTTGATATAAATATGCGTGTGCATGCATGCATGCTTATCTATCTATTTATTTACAAGGTTAACCTTCAGTATACATAAAGGTGAATGAGAAGGGGACAGACTCACCATTTACTCTAAGAACTGCTTGAAATTGATATTCTTCAAATAGAATTTCATTCATGGATTCTTGTATTGAACTGAAGTTAAAATAAGGTTCAGTGATAATAATATTGGTATCTACAAAATCCACCTATGAAAAATACATTGAGATCGTTGTTACACAAAACTTTGAAACTAACACTCCATTACCATATTTTGCAGCAGTTGAAGATCATGTAAAATTGAATACATGACTATCACTTGCCCCATCTGTGGGTAGAAGCCAGGCTTTCAAAGTTTCACTTTCTTTAAAAGATTTCATGAGCAGTGATACAGCTTTATCAAATTAATGGGCAAAAACATAATAGAAGGGAACAGCTTCATACATATTGTGCTCCTTTTGCCATCCTTACGAAGTGTAAACCAACATTTTAAAGAGAAACCAGTAAAGGAACACTACAATACTGCTGTAAGATACTTTACACTTCAGATACAAAAAAGTCAGTCTCTTCCAGCAACTCAGCACTTGCATCATAGAACTACTTATCTAATAACTAGTGATCAAGTCCTGTGAATCAGGATAAACTCCTAGAATCAGTGATAAAACTCCCAGTGACCTCTAATGCAGGCAGCAAAACATCCTGGTCCTTCTGCACTTACTGATAACCTCAGACGACTCTAGGACTTCAGAGGGTTACGTCTATCCTAACTGGATATGGCCCACTTCATGAAAAAGAATTAAAAACACATTCTCCCTGAAATCAAAACTAAATTGAATCGAGTTCCAAAACCAAAATGAAAGCTAAGTATCAAAAGCCAGCATCGTTTATTTTTATGTATGAGACTAACATATTTTGACGTATTACTTTCATTCTCAGTACCATTCCGCCTCCAAGGTGTTGCAAAACTCAAACTTTCAGAGTATATGATTTTTTCAAAAGAAAAAATAAAAGGAAGCCTTACTATAATTCCTGTGCTAAATCCAGTTTGTCCGATAAATAAGAAAAATTTAGTATCACATATTTGTATTTTATACATTCAGCTTACCCATAGATAGAAAATGGTTAGCCAAAGATGGTGACTTGGTACTGTGAACCTTTTTAAATTTTTAATCATGTATTCACTTCTTTTATCTTTTCACAGAGACAGCACAAATGTGCTTTTTTAAACATTTTGTTTACTGCACCTAGGCTGTCACTCTCATTTACATCAACAGTTTCATCACCTCAAAACCAGCATCAAGTTGAGAAAACTTAACAACTTTGGATATTCTAAGCCTCAGGCAGTTCTGCCTAAAGTCTACTAACTTGAACTCTTAATTATATTGATGTAAATTTCATAACATTAATGAACTAAACTCAGTATGAATGCACAAAAGACTACAAAATATAAACTGGTTTTTTTAATTCCTAACCACAGCTCAAAAAATGTTCTTCATATTGCAAAAAAAAAAATCCCTGTGATTTCTAATTGAAGGCACTTTCAAAGAGAACAGTAAACCAGCTCTATTTAATATTTGATGTACTTACGTTAATTCCATTTGTCAGTACTTAACCTACAAAAAAATCTGTAATTAAAAAAAAAAGGCTCTTACTTGATACATTTCTTTTCCAAAAAGATAATCCCAAACCTGTCTCTGGACATCCCAGTTGACCAAGTAGCCCTGTAGGAATTTAGAAAAAAAAATATACTACTTGGAAACTAAATAATAATTTAAAAAAAATTACTAGGAATCAAAATATGTCAAATGACTGACAGACTGGCAATATAAAGAAATTTGAGAGTCTAAGTTCACATTCCTATGCTAAGGAGTAAATGTTACATAGGATAAATAATGCTACAGATATTCCCCATCAATATGTTAATTACTGCACTACAAAACAATGTAAACTCTGTTTCCTGTATACATTAGTCTTGACAGAAGTCAAGAGTCTGACCTCGGTGCCAGAGAAGGTTATGGAGGAGATCATCTTCAGTTCTGTCACATGGCACGTACAGGACAACCAGGGGATCAGGCCCAGTCAGCACAGGTTTATAACAGCTTGACTAGCCTGCCCTCCTTCTACAACAAGGTGACCCACTTGGTGGATGAGAGAAAGGCTGTGGGTGTTGTCTACCCAGAGTACTCTTTGCTGGGTGAAAAATGGGCTGGATGGCAGTACCCAAAGAGTGGTGGTGAACGGAGTTAAATCTAGTTGGTGGCTGGTCACAAGTGGTATCCTCCAGGGCTCAGTATTGGGGCCACTTCTCTCCAATATCTTTATCAACGATCTGGATGAGGGGATCAAGTGCACCCTCAGTAAATTCATGGATGACACAAAACTGGTGGGACTGCTGATCTGCTTGAGGGTAGGAGGTGTCTACAGAGGAACCTGGACAGGCTGGACCAATAGACCAGAGTTCAACATGGCCAAGCGCCAGGTGCTGCACTTCAGTCCCAACAACCCCAGGCAGCGCTGCAGGCTTGGGAAGCAGCTGGAAAGCTGTCCAGTGGAAAAGGACCTGGCGTTAGTGGTCAACAGCCGGCTGAATATGAGCCAGCAATTGTGCCCAGGTGGCCAAGGCGGCCAACGGTATCCTGGTCTCTATCAAAAATAGTGTGTCTAAAAGGACTAGGAAAGGGATTGTACTCAGCACTGGTGAGGCCACACCTCGAATCCTGTGTTCCATTTTGGGCCCTTCAAGAAAAGGACACTGAGGTGCTGGAGCATGTCCAAAGAAGGCCAACAAAGCTGGTGAAAGGGTCTGGAAAACAAGTCTTATGAAGAGCAGCTGAGGGGACTGGGTTTGCTCAGCCTGGAGAGAAGGAGGCTGAGGGGAGACCTTATCACTCTCTGCAACTACCTGAAAGGTTGTATCAAGGTGGGTGTCAGTCTCCCAAGATCTAACTGATAGGAGAAGAGGAAATGACCTCACGTTGCACCAGGGTAGGTTTAGCTTGGATACTAGGAAAAATTTTTTTCACTGAAAGGGTTGTCAACCACTGGAACAGGCTGCCCATGGAAGTGGTTGAGTCACCATCCCTGGAGGTATTGAAGATGTCTAGATGTGGTGCTTAGGGACCTGGTTTACTGGTGGACTTCACAGAGCTAGGTTAATGGCTGGACTTGATGATTTAATGTGTTTTTTACAACCTCAATCATAATCATAGAATGGACTCGGCTGGGACGGCCTGGCCTAGGCTGGAAGGGACCTTAGAGATCATTTAATCCAACCTACCTGTCACGGGCAGGGACGCCACCTCTCAACTAGATCAGGCAACACGTGGGGGCGGAATGGGAATCGAACCCGTGACCTTGGCATTGTTAGCACCACGCTCAACTGACTGAGCTAACTGGCTCAATGATTCTATGATTGTTAAATTTCACATTGTTGAATTTGATTCTTCTATAATATTACACATAAATCTGCAGCTGGGTCACACTGTATGAAAACTATTCCTTAAAACAATTTTACACTTGACTATAATGTTAAACTCAGGACGTCTCACTTACTTTTTGAAAAGGCAGAATGTAAAAAAGACCAGAGGGATCTTTAATTTCATCCAGTTGATTTGCCGTAAAGGTTTTCAAGCGTGCAGTCTTTGATCTGAACTGACAGTTGGGAATAACGCTGGAAAAGATTGGGAAATTTTCTCTTCAGCAAGACACAAGCCACAGTCGTTGTAT